TCTACCCTTAATCTATGAGCTCTATAAATAATTTCCTTTTTTAGTTTATTTTTGTTATGTTTTCAATATAATGTTGTTAAAATAAATAGGAATCAAATGTTAGGGGAGGGAGGAAGATACACCGAGGGAAGTAAAGTATATAGATTCAATAATTTAAAAAGAAAAATCAAGAAGTAAAGTAAGTCTGATAAAAAGAGTGATGTACTTGTTATTTCTCCCATGTAAATTGCGAATCAAATTACCTAGTCCTCAGTTAAAATCTCGATGTCTGTGATGTAACTATTTATGAAACTACTATACCACTCTTTACCGATGGAAAACGTGACCGCATGTACTTTGAGAAGACCTACATTTTTGAAAATAAGATTTATTTATTTATAAAGAAATGTTATTCATACATTCTTCCATTTTTATATTCAAGATTTTAAACATATAGATGCTAACCTACAATAAAGTTAAAAAAGGCTTAGCTAAACCAAGGTTTGATACCGACCAATCAATTGCTATCTACATACTAATAATAAAGATTCAACTACGTGGCAGTCAGATTCATCGTTGAAATATTAATTTCTATCGATAACTGATACAAAAAACGAAGAAGAGGGAGTAATGAAATTGTGAAGCTTCTTCATAAATAAATTTAGCCATTTAGCATCAGCTAAATCACCAGTGGATCCAAGATTTAATTTTTTTTTTGGGGGGGGAGGAGGGCGGCTTCATACCGAAAGCTTTTTTTTCATATATATAACGATAATGATTTTGAAAGAAAAAGAAAAGAAATATACTAACTACCTATATGAAATGGTGTTTAAGTGATTCTTGAAGTAATTTTAAATGGGAGAAGTCATTTTACACAACAATGAAACTTTTTTTTTAATTTTTTTACCATGAACCATGGTTACAATTTACCATTTTTGGGTTGGCGGACTTCTGCCAGAAAGCCCCTCTCCCCCCCTCCCACTCCCCGTAGAACAGCGTGTGAGCTAAACCCAGCCTTGATTATTTGAAATAATTACATTTAATTAATATCTGACACTTCTATTAATAAAATAAATATTTTTTTAGTGGTAATCATTCATTTATCGAATTTCATTCAAGTTCTCATAAGACACATCCAAACTATTTCATATATTTTTTTGAAATCAGCCTAAATGAAGAGAATGGATTGACGAAGACGTTGGGAAAGTGATTTACATGCAACAGTTAATGAAGCGGACAGAACAAACACGATACAGGGTGAAAGCTTGTTAGTTCGCATGTTCATGCATATCAATTCAGCTTACGTTGCTTTAATGGAGGGAACCTTGTCAGGCCATCAAATCGTTCCAATTGATTCCTCAGATATTAGAAATTAACAACATTATTTTTTTCATTTAGTTAATTATGGATTTAGGAAGAAAAATATGGACAGTTTTTTCACAACTGATGTACAACCTGTCATTATACAAACAATTGCACTGCCGTATTTTAGCTAACACTTTCAGTCCCAGTACAAAAAAGAAAAAAAAAAAAAAAAAAGAAAAATAGAATAATATTCAATATTGCTGTTTATGCTAAGCTTATTCGGATTCCTTTTAATGATTACAAGATGCAACTGTTTTATAAGATTCGCCATCTCAAGTTAAGATTATAAGATATGATGGGTTATGACCATAGAGTTCGAGTTAAGGTGACATGAAAGTCCAATAAGAGATTGATGTAGCTCCCTGTATATAGATAACAATATTATCTACCAATTTCGGCGCCCAAACATTGCTTCTATTGCTAAAGGGATATAACTGTAGTAGGATCTTCATCAACCATTTCAATAGGTTGAGCATACATTGGTGAAGGAATGGGATTTAATAATGACTAGGCAATAGCATTATAACTCACATGGTTGTCCATAAAAAGTAATAGGGCATAAAATTATGACATTTACGTATCCAATTCTTGCAGTCTAATGTCCCTAAATCGATAATGGTATATTCCATAACTTTCGAGGAACAGTTTTCGAAAAACTCTATTTTAATCAGTACAAGCTAAATAGCCTGTCGGTGGCTAACCAGAAACAAGGGAGATTTTGGTATTCAACAGCTAAAGTTGGGAAGCCGGGATTAGCTGGCTATTCACAGCCCGTCAGCGTGACACCATGGCGATGAAGCCCGGTTCATCAGATTCCAATGTTCTCTCTTGAATCATGCAACATGAGAGCGACAATCTCAAACATGTTACGAATTGGTCATCATGCAGTTGATAATGTTAAGGATCCACCTATATATAAAAACCTGTACCACTAACAACCCATGAAGGGTCTTTGGTTCAGTACAATGTGAGGAAGTACGAGGAGGTTGTGTGGAGAGGGTTTAAGTAAGTAAGTAAAAATTACATCAACTTATCAAGCTCTTGAAATGTCATTTAATTAAAAAATGATCTTTTATGCAATGCTAATAGTATGCATGTAAAGAAAACGGTAAACAAGGTTTTTTTTTAATAAGTCACAGAATCGGTTTTAATAGTTTTTATTTGAGAAAAATATCGAGATAAAGAAGATATCAATATTTTCTTTCATTAATTTAATTTTGAATAAACATTCTTAATCGTGGTCATAGAAATGATTATAGATATAGGAGAATAAATAAATATTCGTAGGCAAACATACTAATAGTTCTCTCCTATAAGGTGAGCTGGGGGAGGGAGCACCCAAAGGGTTCATTTTTTCAGTTTGCCACTTATATCAGAGATACCTTGCATCCTTGAGATAAAGATGTTCTATACAGAATTAAAGTTGTCCAAATTTGGAACAAAATTAATTATATTTATTTTTGCGCTATTTCGCATACTTCCAAAGGGTTTCCATGATCAATATTCGCTAATTTAAGAAGAAAAAAATTATCTCATCTCTTTTTTTTTGTTTGACTAAACAAAACTTTAACTTTTTCTTCAAAAGAAAATTCACAAAGAAGAAAGTTGTTGAGCGTTAGATTTTGTTCTTGAATGTCTATTACTTTACTATCTTATCAATCCTTAAAAAGTTAGGCAAAAAAAAAAGTTTTTAGTGTGTCATATTTTATATTAGTATTAGAACCGTAGGAGGTTAAATTAGCTCTCCTATTAGTTCTATAATTAGAACCACTTATATAGCTGTTCATTTAATTACATATGTGTTGAGCTCCTGTCACCTAATAGTCTCCTAATATAAAATAAAGATTTTAGACTAAAATTTTGTACGGGAAATGATATCTATTCATCTGGAGGAGTTAGTTTGATTTAACCTAGGTGACAGCAATTATGCTTCGACCTAGACATTTCTCCTTGACTACAATATATTAATTACTAGCTGATGTACCCATCGTTGACGGGTGTATAGTTAAAATTTGAGCATATTTTTTTAAAATAGATTTTGTATTATGGGATCCAAATTCAATTTCATAAAATTGAGTTGGGAGAGCGGAGATGGGTCGTTATGAAATTTTTATGGCGGGGCTTATGGAAGTCAAGGTTTTGCAATAGTCATGACAAACTTGATTTGTTTAGGTTATTTGTTTAGGTACCACACAACTAAACCGACCACAACCGATCCATTAAAATTTGTTAAGTGTTTAATTTTCATTTATGATTAAGCGAAGAGATTGTGGAGTCGATTAATTTATCAAAACGAGTTGTAGTCCGAACATCCAGACAACCAATTTTTTTTTTAAAACTGGATTTGGTGCCTATAATGTATAAAAAGGAAAGATATCATGAAACGGGTTGATTCTATTCAATGTACAGATAAAACGTCAAACGTAGGCAAAAATAAATTTTTTTTAAAAAAGACTGCGTCCTGAATGTTTGTCACCCATTACAGATAAAACCTTTATTTTATTTATATAGACGTTCTTCAACCTATAAACATATGTTTGTTATTAACATTTATTATCAACATTAACCGAGATCTTTAGACAAATTACTCAAGAATTCATAACTTTGGTTCTACTCAATATTTTGTTTTCATTTAAAGCCTATGTTTTAAGTCAAGCAAACCTTAATATAATGTCAAAATTTCAAAAGTCTACAATCAGCCATTGCCGAGCTTACCCCTGACAAAATTTTGCAATCCGGACATACAGACTGACAAAAAAATCTTTAAAAGTGGATTTGGTGTCTGCAATGTATGAAACGTCATGATATAAAAAAAGGCTTGATTCTATTCAATGTACAGACAAAATCTTTATTTTATTTATATTGATTATATTATATAAAATATTATTCATATTATATTGTGATATAATTATAATTATTATGAAATAGAATAGGAAGCTCGACAAGTTGAATATATATTATGGTTACAAAAAATCAAAATCAAATTAAAAAAAATTATTTATATATATATATATATATATATATATATATATATATAATAATATAAATTAACAATAATGCGCGACGTATAATATAGAATTTTAAAGAAATTAAAAATTTGTCCGAACTGCGGTTTCGATAACCTCCACCTCATAACAAAAGATTCTATCCCTAGATGTCAAAAGTGTAACCAATCACTAACTATAAAACATATTGTGGAAGAATGCCCTTTTTACACCGCAAGATTAAAAGATCTCGGAATACCCCAGAATATATCAGCATCCCTGGGAAATCAAGAAGAAATCGTTACCAAAGTCATCAAGTTCCTGGATAGTGAAAGACTTAAAAAACACATTTGACAGGCTTATAATTAATGATCCTTTGCAGATTTACTATTATTTTTTTTATTTATTAATTTTTTTATCTATTTATCTTTATTCTATTTTCTCTTATTATTTTTTTTTTTTTTCATTTGATTTCATTTCATTTTAAATTCATTTGTTTATTAATCTCAATTCATTTATTGATTCTACTGCTATTTTTTAAAGTTTATTTATTTATACATTTTTTATACATCTTATTACCTATAAATGTCTATTATTATCCTTATTTATTTATTTTATTCTATCAATCCATTTCTTTATTTTTTTTATTTTTTTTAATTCTTTTTTTTTTTTGTACTAATCATCCAAATAGTATTAAATGATATTATTTAGTTGATCGGGCGCTTATGACCTGGATGTTTTGCGCCTAGACATCGAAACAAACAAACAATGTTATGAAGTTATAATGGAATTATGGTCCGTATATTTCTCCATTTATTTCACGGCATTATTAATTTTGGGACAAGATTCAAGTAACATGATAGATGATTATTCTTGACTACCACAGATTTGAGGAAGCGGCAGTAAAGATTACAATGGCAATGACCTGGTATGGAAGGTAACCCCCTCCACCCACCACCGAAGTGTCGGAAGATTGCGAGTTCACTGGCTCGGATAGTTGACGCAGGACTGGTGATGACAGCTGCAACACCTGTCCACAGCGCTAACTCATTCGGAACACCTCGGTTCCTAAATAGAACGAGAATATCCCGAAAATCATGGCAAATGTTCGCTAAGGGAAACTGAAAGTAATACAATTTTAAATAAAACAGCGTTATGGAATATTCTTTAATTTTAATATATATATATATATATATATATATATATATATATATATACATATCTTCAGGTTATTTTATTTTTTATTGTACATAGTTTTTGATTATTATTTAGTTATTATTTTACTTTTGTTTATTTTATATTTTCTGTATGTATGATGTGAATGTGTTCATATATCACTATAATTATTGTCCAAGTGACAGATTATTATATTTCTATATAAACACATAAAAAATAAATAAATAAACAAAGTGTAATATCTTATCGGGGTGTAGGACACACCAAACGGCCCAATAGACCACCTTTTTTCTCGATTTTGTGCTGTAATTATCTTATGATCCAAGTGGAAAGAAAATGGGTATTTACGAATTTTTAGTACCTAATTAATCAGACAAAGTTTGCTGATCTCCAGATTGCAACTCCGATTCCGAGAATTTCGGTAAATAAAATAGTTGTAGAATACGATGAGACGAAACTATTTAAGACGTTTTAGGCGGATGTTAATAATTTGATAAAAAGGGGTCTGTATCACGGACAATTATAACCAGGGGCCGAGTTCTTATCCAGTAAAAACCCGAACAATATTTTCATATGCAGAATATAATAGAATAAGAAACATAAAACTCGAAATATTAAGCAAAATATGAATACAAAATATCCAACAATAGTAAGTATAAATATAAGCATATTTTTTTATATTTCTATAGCTACTGTCAAGAAAGGAGGAAAAATAACACACTTCCCACACAGCAGACTGTAGTGGGCAGCAACTTTGGAGCGAAATTTTATTTTTAGTTTAAGTAAAAAAATATTATCTTCAGTTTTTTCATCGTTTAGACCTTCCTTCAGGCAGAAAAAAATTAATGTAGACCTGAAGATATTTATTTCGAATTATTTAACGTAAATACTGTTAATAAACTGGTGGTGAAAAACAGGATGGCAAAATTAAGTTGGAAGAAAATAATCTGTCTCCAAGTCATAGCAGATTAAATTGAAAATAATAACTTTTCAATACAGTAATTTAAAATTTTAACCAACCTGAGATTTTATAGGAATATTTTAATCTAATCAGGGATATACACTTACGACCACTTGCGTTTCTGATTTAGACATTCTCGATGTCCGTGGACTTGTAAAATCCAAACATGAATTTAAGTTATTTTAGCCATAATTGGAATCAAACAATTATTTAGATTTGAAAAATGTGTTGTTCTTCATTTCTGTTATATATTAACATCGTTGTAAATAATTAACAACATATTAATAAAAGACCGTTTTCGTAAGTAACTCAATATATTTAATGGATGCGATAAAGCTGAAGTATTTAAGGAACTATATAGTCCTTATAGGCTTTTTATTTATTTTTTTTATGTAACGTAAATTTGTCTAAAGTTACCCAAAAAGAAAAAGATAATAAAAATATGCTAAAACCAATTAAAACGAATAAACCACGATTTAACCATAATTTAACACAAGTGTAAAAAAAAAATTAATAATGCCATGAAATAAATGAAGAAATATACGGACCGTAACTCCATTATAACTTCATAACATTATGACTCATAAAATTTGATGACATCTTGTTATGAACCTCTTTTATTATACAACCACCTTGTATCCTTGTAGAATGTACAACGACTCCCAAATGTATTACTTCTTCCGTTATTTTACCAATGCTTGACAATTTAAGCTTATGTAATTAATCCTGTTAGCAGTAATTATACTTTATAGTAATTACTTTTGATGGTGAATTTAGATTGACGTCTAAAAGGCAAGTTCGCCAGAAAAACCTAAATAACTAAGAAAAAGTTTTATCACATAACTTCAAATTAGACCAATTTAATGACTGTTTTTCGTAATTCAACATGAACATTCCTAAATAAAATCATCAGAAACCTATTGGACCTATAAAAAAAAAATTAACTTTTTCTGCAAATTCACAAAATGTCAGATATGAAGGCACTTATATATTTTTAAAATTTAATTAAATATGTCTGTTTTTTTTTTATTGTATGTCCCATCTTATTGAAAATAAATCAATGAAATGTCCTATTTCTTTTACACTCAATAACATTCTTTAAAATAAAATACATTCTCTTGATAACGAAAACTGTTGAGAGACACTGTGTGTATGTAAGGAAATATGAATATATATAATAAACAGTTTTATTATACATATACTTATAACGAATGCAAGATCGATCGAGGTATATATTTAGTAGGGAATAGAAAAGAGTAGTTAAAAGAAACAGAAAGGAAATTTTGAGGCGTTGGGAAGAGTTGGTTAAGCGAAGGATAAGAAAACAGAAAACTCACATGTACATCCTCACTATTCTACACCTTGAAACCAAATAAGTTCAGCACTCACCTAAAACAAAATAAACATTTAATTATAATATTTTATTTTTATTTATTCATGATATTTACAACTGTATTAAAAAATTAAATACATTAAGTAAATTAATTATAATTGAATAATAAAACAAGGAAGACATGACATAAATACTAATTTATTTATAGGAATAGTAAGCACAGCATAAATTAATCTACGATATCCCTTTCAATTTTTATTGTTTTAGTTTCTCCAGCTTTAGTTTTAAGAACCGGTATTTAAAAACTCGTCAAAATTTGGAACGCTTATCTAAGAAATAGGCCATCTAATCATGTAACAAAGATAAAAAACCTAGTATTTATCAGAGAACTATTTTTTTCTTATTTACTATATTTGCCATGGAGAGTATAAAAAATTATATTTAAAATATTTTACTTATTGAATTTCCACCAATTTTAAAAATTATTTTTCTAAAAAAACTAATAAAGAGATCAAATTGAAAGCGCAATAGGACCTGATATTTTTTTTTAAATTTAGAAACAAGCAATATATCTTTGCCTTATTAATTATTTTAGGGTTGGAAAATTAAGCCAGTAACCATTGGCAATTGTTAAGCTATTATTAATAATTGTTAATTTTTATTTATATACTTTTGATTCCATCTGTTGCTGCATACATTCAAATTACTTTTTACACATCATAAGTTAATGTTAGACCCGTTGTTTTTTCATATTTCTTATTTCTTTATTTCTACTATTGATTTAGTTAATTTATTTTTACTTTGTATATACTTATTTTTTTTTTCATGGTGTACTGATATTTGTATTTCATCATTATCTTATGTGCATTTTTCATCTTTTCATTTCGTATTGTTTACATACTCATTTTGCTGAAGTATTTTTTTTTTTATTCCTGATGATGATGACTCTTATGCGAAACGTCGGCATTTTTCATCCTAATACCAAATTTTATTAAATAATATTTTTGTTAATTAAAATTTAAATTATTCTTTATTTTCAAAATAATAAAAGTAAAACCGAATAAATGTAATTATATTGATATTGTTGATTAGATTTCCAGTTTTGAATAGTTTATATATTTTTTAAAATAATATAAAATATGAAACATTTCAACTATACAAAATGTAGAACCAATATACACAGGAATTTCAATTTATTCTAGATATAAATTGTTTTTTATCAATAAAGCTGGCTGGCTCTTCAATCAGTTATTGCTTAGTTATTTGTACAGGATTTTCCCAATCCCGATTCAAACGGAAGAGGACAAACAAAATATTAAAAAATACAAACAAAACAAAAAGGGTCAACAAAGATTTTAGTTTGTTTATCAGAGAAAAATCTAATTGACAATAAAGTATAAAGTAAGTAATGAAAAAATACTAAATTCAAACATTTTTGAAGGAGAGAAAAAAATTATAAATTTCTGTTTACCAAGCAACTCCCAGATTTCTTTTGTCACTCCCTCTCCCTTAAGAAATCTAAGAGATGAAAGGGGTAGAAATTCTTTTGTAATGTATGCTTTTATATACATAAGGAATTTATAAAAGGATTGAAAACTCTTGGAAATAGTCAAATCAAGGTCTGCACAAACGTTTTGCATGTACATCAAAGAGATATCCGAAGAAAGACCCGAAGAGAATTAGTAAACAATAAATATGTGATGAAATCCTTAATAATTTTTAACTTTAAACTATAAAATTTGTACTCAGATCTGTAAAGCATTGGTATATAAAAACATATGAATGGTCAACATTTCACAAATGTGTGCAACTGCAAATTTTATAATTTGAAATAAAAAATTCTAACATTAGACCCTGTATAAGGTATATAGTAAATATATTTTACTGTACACATTGTAATTTCTCAATTCAATTTCGTTCTTTGTAAAGAGGTTTGTTCGTATATATGTTTGATGTTAACTAGGACAGACCTAAATTTCACATTTTTTTTTTTTACAGTTTTAAACCCTTTTATGATTATTACAACAGTTAAAATAGTGAAGTTAATCTTAGATAGATGTTTCCACTCTAAGTAAAGAACATTCTTTAATTGATCAGAAAAGTACTTTAAAGTAGCTATTTAATGTGAAATAGTTTAAATATTATAGTGTCTTTTAATGGCTGATTGTATTCTGGGTAACGAATTCTGCTAACAAGACCACAGTCCTACGAATACAGTATGGAAAGTAAAAAGGGACGCAGTTGTATCGACCTTAATGCCTCATTAGTGACCAATGTAAGTAAGCTTTCTTTTCACAAAACATCGTGGAATAGAAAAATTAATTTATTTTGAAATCATTAGTAGTATTAAAATCGATATAAAGTCAAATTATTACATGATACGCTATGGGGTAAGGCACTACTCGAGTATACGATAAGTAGGTATATGTCATAGCACTAAAAAATATATGCTATAGCATAGGCATAGTCAACAAGTTTCTGGTAACATTATATTGTGTGGCCCTCTGTGAGATTTCATCTTTCTATTGAAATATTTCTTCCTCAATGTATGTGTACGAAAAGTATTAAATAATTGAAAACATGTACTTCGTCGTTATAACGCGTAAGTGCCACTACGAACCTAAGTCCTTTAGTTATTTGATATCCAAGAATACCAAAGTAACTGAAAGAATCGGGAAAATTTAGTGCATAGAAGGATAAAACAATAAGAAATTAACTTAGACTCGAAAGTTAATTAAATCGAATAATAGAATAACAAAGTTTTATATCCCTTTTATATTGCAAGCCCAAGTACGCTAAATATGAATATACATATTTAGTTAATTGGGAGTACTTCACAATGAATAAATGAAGAATAATATAATAACGCTGTTTAGATTTTATTATTATATTTTCTTGGCTAATTTACGAATTCTTGTTAATTTTAGATCAAGATAATAGTAGTCAGCAATGAATAATGTAGTTAGTTTCAATAAAAACTGCTTACAGGAATAAGTGGAATTGAATAGGTATTCTTTTAGTGGATAGATGGAGAAACCACGAGTTTCTACCCTTCATTAATCATTTAATTCAGAGTACTCACTTTATGGAGGCAGGGAGGGTCTCCCGACTCCAAGGTCGATACACGTCTGATGTAGCAGAACAAGAAATTACCTGCCACTGCCGGACTCAAATCTGGAACCCAGAGCATACGCCTGCCTTACTAGTTACACCGCTTCCAATTTTCTAACTTGAAAATCTCCAATAATAGCTTAAGTAATGCGCCTCCTACTCTCTTATATTCTGAATTATATTTTGTATTCATTTCTCCTTTGTCTTATTAGTTATCCATAACAATTACTGATGTTAACAGTCCACTCATACGATAAAAAAATAACAGCATCTAAAGAACTTCCAACGAGTACCTTCTAAACCTTCAAGTGAAGAAATCATTTATGCTTTGTTAATTATATTGTGAATTTAAAAAAAATCTATCTCGAAAACTTTTAAACGAGAAAAGGCAGAGCTATCGGGTACTGGTATCGAAGGGGAGGAAGTTCGGAAACAGGGCCTGTAGAAGTTATTATCAGCACTTGAAAGTATTCTCCCTGGTAATTTAATGGAGAGGGTAAAAAGATGGTCAGCCAACTGATGGATTGCTTTGTAAAATTCACTCGCTTTTTTTCTTTTTTTTTTTTTTTTAATACTCATTTCCTTTGAAAGGTACTTGCACAGAATCTTGTAAAATCTTTTTCCGGAAAAGATAATTCTTTTTTTTAAATTTTTTTTTCTCGTTCTAACCATAAAATTTGTTTTCTTTAGCATTGCCTTTCTTTTCTATATCGTCCGTTTATTGCAAAAAGTCATTATGTAACACATTAATTTATTATTTTTTATACTTGGATCTTGGCGTATCTGAATGGTCTTCGAATGGTATTCGAATGGTCCGACCTAACTCTCTCATATATTTTTATACAGTATTATCTATTCATTGATGAGTATGCTGTGTTATTAAGCAACTTGAGCATTTGCTAAATAATAAAGTTGAGCAGCCCTGCAATGTGTTGTATTTCTTCTTCTCTAGAAATTCTAAATATATATTCTATTTTGGAAAATTAATCAAAATACTTAACATATACAAAAAAAAAAAAATGAACAAAATTTTCGTTGCAATTTGAAAAATGTAATTTTTTTGCTCAATATTCTGCCTCATATTAATATCTCCTGTGAGATCCATCTATGTTTATAGCTTTATGGCAGATATTAGAAAAACAAAATACATTTATTTTTCGATTGCAACGGAAATGCTTGTTCAGGGGGCTTTTAGGGGTACGAAAAATGAATATCACATTTTTTATCCCAAACATATATATTTCTTGGTATAATAAGTACAATAAATGCTTTATTCTTATTGTCGGGTTAAATTTCAACAATATGCTTGAATTTGTGCATATGACCATACATTTGATAACCGTCCGCTTTAGAAAAAGATATATATATTTGGCATACAGCTATAGTATGTGTTCAATATTGAAACAAATAGTACTGACATAAGGAGTGAAGCAGGTTCAAATATTTGTTTAAAGTTAAACAAAGTTGAGATTTGTATTTCGCACCTCGAAAAATCCTTAAATAGAAAATTTCGTACTAACAGAAAAATAATTATTTTTTTCTCGAAAATCACAAAAGGTTCAATAACTTCGATATGGCTCCACTTATCCAAACGAAATTTAGCATGAATTCGGGGGCCTATGATATACACAAAATAGCATAAACCAGAATCCCGCAAATAAATCAGGTTCGGAGTTAAAAAAAAAAAAAAGATAAGTTTTTATTTATTTATTCCTTATAAAATCTAAATATAGTTATGAATAGAAATAATTTAGTTTTCTAACGGTTGTTGTAACATCAACATAGGAGTCAAATCTGAGGAGTTACAAATATTTTAGTAAATGGCGTGAAAAAAAAAAGTCCTCCCAATAAATGACGTCCAAAACAAAGCTTTGTTTTTTTATTTCAAAACAAACTCGTATTTAAACATTTTAGTGAACCCTAAAAACGAACCTCAATAGTTTTTCCATAACAAAAATTTACTTGGTCCAGTTTACTGGAAGCGTCTATGGATTATTGTAATTTATTATATATAAGAATTCGCTTAGTACAATAAGCAATATGTTTTTCTTATTTTACACAAAAAAAAAAAAAAAATCAGTTGATGTATAAGAACTTGTGGATTCATTCAGATCAAAGTCAGAAAACAGTAACATAAAAAAATAATAAAATTTTGTAAAATATTTATTTTTCTTGGCTCCAAGGGCGTATTGGCAAGAACCTGGGTCTAATATTTTTCGACCTAGTATCACCAAAAAAAGTTTTATTGAAATAGGTACGTCCGTGTCCTCCCCTTGTTGGTTAGTTTTATTAACCTTTTGACCAATTATTGCAGTGAAAGAAGTCAATAAGTACCAGATATTTTTTTTTCTGTAAAGTCAGAACATCGTGCTTAGTGAAAATATTTTTATATATAAAAATATTTGTATTATTGTTATGCACCTTATAAGTTATTGTATCGATAAATATGATCGAAATCAATAACTACGTACCTTCAGGTAAAAATTGACAAAAAGTGTACTTTTTGCAATAAACCGACGATATAGTTTTAATGTTTCACTGATTTATTTTTTTGTATATTGGAAAAAATTGTTTATTCTTTCAAATTAGTTTTCTTGAAATATATATTCAACATTCTAGTATACGAATTCCATATTATTATATAACTAGGATTTCTCTCTCAAATGAAATGCAAGCTGGTAATTTTGACTGCATGTCCATCTCCTCGCAGTAACTGCATGCTGGACATAATAGCGACCTTCAATTATACGATTGGGTGTGTTCGCCCCACCATGTCAAACAACCCTGCTGAGTGATTGCTTGGAAATCTGTATCAGATAATTATCATGTGGTCAGGACGGTTGTTCCCACAATAGTGTGTGGCGTAAATGATTCAGAAGAGCTCCCCCTCCCCCCAGTAGTATCAATGCGCGACAACTACCTTCCCCTCCTCACTCATCCATTCTTACAGCACCTCCATAATGATACATAGTGCATCTAAGATGAGTTTGTCTATAGGGGAAGGGAACTCGCGCAGCGTTCCCCCACTCAAGTTCCAGTTCCTCAAAATCTTACCATCAATTTATATACGTTTTTGGTATGAGAGAGGATTGTTTTCTCTTTACCAAGTTTACTTGACATAGTAAACGAAAATTAGTAAAAGAAATGATAAAATAAAGTACGTACAAATGAGTAGAGGAGACAAAAGAGTGAAAGATCGGCGGAAAAATATCTTGCCTCTGCGATTCTAACTTCCCCTCTACTCACCGGCAAACTTATCTCAGTTGTTCTTTACTTAAATATAAGAAAACTTAAAAGGTATTCTTACAGTTCAGCTAAGTATTAAACAAAATTTAAACGGACTCTCATTTAACTCCGATTTATCCGGTTATCCGACATTAGATGAGCTCTTATTCAA